TTAAGGAGAAGAGTGCAGCTGCATTGTAGTTGAAATTGGAGCAACTTTGCACGATAAAGAGCTTGACCAGCTACACTTAAAACATCGCTTGTAGTCTCACTAGATGTTTGAAGGTATGTCATGGATGATCACTTAATTATGTTCAAAGAAATTGTGGCTGATTCGGAGACATTAGAGGTTAAGTATAACGAGGATTTACCTTTGATGTTGTTGTGTTCATTGTCACCATCATATGTGACTTTTAGGGATACTATTCTCTATGGTCGGGATACTCTCACCATGGAAGAGGTCTAAGATGCTTTACTATCTAAGGAGAAGATGAGGCATCTTGCTGGAGGATCTGGAAATCATGCTGAAAGCTTGGTTGTGCATGGGGGGAATCAAGATAGGAATCTTGGCAGAAATATAAGGGGCAGATCGAAGTCTAAACATGCTGAGAAGATATGTCATTACTGCAAGAAAAAGGGGTATATTTGAGCTGATTGCTTTGCCTTGAAAAATAGAAATAAACTTGCTGGTACTACAGAGAAAGGGAAGCAACATGTTAATACAGTCGAGGCTGATGTTGTGGAGGATGAGCAAAGTAGTGGAGAGCTTCTTGTGATTTTTGACGGAGATATTAAATCTAGTGATGAATGGGTTCTCGACTCGGCTTGTACTTTTCATATGTGTCCTAACAGGAACTGATTTTCTACATATGAAGAAGTTTCGAGAGGTGCTATGATTATGAGAAACAACGCGCCTTGCAAGATTGCTGGAGTTGGTACAGTCAAAATCAGGATGTTCGATGGAGTTGTCAAAACACTTACAGATGTAAGACATGTCCCAGAACTGAAACGAAATCTCATATCTTTGAGTACACTTGACTCAAAAGATTACAGATACATCGGTGAATGTGGAGTTTTAAAAGTGAGCAAGGGTGTTCTTGTTGTCATGAAGGGACATAAAAACTCTATAAAGCTGTACATTTTGCACGGTTCCACGGTGATTGGGGATGCACAGTTTTTACTTCTTCTTTGAAGGATGATGAAGTTACAAAACTTTGGCATATGAGTGAGAATGGGATGGTAGAGCTGAGTAACAGAGGACTTTTTGATGGGCAGAAGACTAGCAAAATTGAATTTTGTGAGCATTGTATCTTTGGGAAACAGAAGAGAGTCAGATTTACTAAAGGAAAATACAACACGAAGGGAACACTTGAATATATCCATTCAGATCTTTGAGGACCAGCCAGGGTACCATATAAAGGTGCTATTATTACTTGTTGACAATAATTGATGACTTCTTCAGGAAAGTTTGGGTATTCTTCTTGAAGCAGAAGAGTGATGTGTTTGAGTCCTTCAAGTAGTGGAAAAGTAGACCGGAAAGCAAGTGAAATGTCTACACACTGATAATGGGTTGGAGTTTTGCTAAGATGAATTCAATAGCTTCTGCAGGGCTGAAGACATCTTGAGATACTTGACAGTACCGGAACTCCTCAACAAAATGGTGTGGCAGAACGGACGAACAGGACCTTAATGGAAAAGGTTTGTTGTATGCTTTCAAATTCTGGATTGCCTAAATCTTTTTGGGTTGAAGCTGCTACTATAGCTTGTTTTCTGATTAATCGCTCACCCTCAGTTGCCATGGATAAAAAAACACTAGAAGAGGTATCATCTGGTAAACTTTCTTCCTATTCTGATTTGAAAATTTTTGGGTGTCCAACTTCTGCTCATGTAGATAATGGGAAGTTGGAGCTTAGATCTAGAAAATGCATTTTTCTTGGGTATAAATCCGGTGTGAAGTGATATAAGTTGACTAGAAAGGTGGTTGTTAGTAGGAATATAGTATTTGATGAACTTGCTATGGTTCATGGCTCACCTCTTGGGGATTCTGATAAAGTTG